CCCCGGCGCCAGCCGCCGCCGCCGCCGAGCCCACCCCCGCCCCCGCCGCGCCACCTGTGGACACGGTGGCCGCGTGGTACCGGGCGCTCGAGTGCGGCGAGTTCTGGTTCCCCGCGCAGGTGTACAACCGCGAGGTAGTACCAATCCACCACCACTAACTGTAATTAACATTAGGTTAAGCACACAGTCGAATTGTTTGGTTAATAATACTGGGAGAATGTGCTTGCTCTTTTAGCAGGACGGGCATGTCGGGTTCGTGCTCTCGTGCTACGACGCGCACCTCCGCTACCACCGGCGAACTGACACCTTCACCGCGAGGTAACCCCCCAGCTTATGTTTTTAATCTCCTTTTGTCGGTAGCAGTTTACTGTTGTGATCCTCATACGAGGCCGACTGAAATTGACGGCATCCATTAATCTGTATAGCCGTCGAGCTCACATGAGTAAAAAGGATGTGCTGAGAATTATAGGGTGTGCAACATTAGGATGTGCATTTAAACCACTGACCGTGAAATGTCTGCTGATAATGGAATGAATGAGATATTTTGGGCTGCTGTTTTGCTGTGATTGCGAGTGGGTTAAATTGGTGACGATGCTCGATGCGCGATTGGTCTCCTTGACAGGTACCCACCCCTCGGCCGGAAGCCGGGCAAGGAGGAGGACGGCGTGCAGTGGAACAGGGTCCGCGCGCCGCCGGTGAGCACGCCGGCGCCGGACCTGCATGCGTCGGACTGCCTGGAGGAGCTGCGCCCGGGCGACCATTTCGAGATCCAGTGGCGCAAGAACAAGGACTTCCCTTATGGTATGCTCCTATATTGCTCGAATCAGATCATCTACAGATTGCAATGCTTGGCAGAATTAAGGTGCCGCTGCACAGTTCATTTTTCTACTAGTATCTCGGTTGGTTTGGTTCACGTACGATGCCTTTGTGATGCACTACAACAGGCTGGTGGTATGGCGTCGTGGGTCACCAGGAGTCGTGCCATGGGAACGAGCATATGTGTCGCTGCCACAAAGAAGGTAAAGATTCTCTCTCCCGGGGCGCTCTCTTTTTCATCTTTGGATATGGCGGCCATAGCACCTGCGGACAGGATAAACATTACTATTAGTAGAAAAGAGGAAAGTACTAGTAGTTACAGTTACCGTACAAAGGAGTGCAGCTAGAAGTATTCTTCTGCATAGACTGCCCTCAGACTCTGCTCCTTTTCTTAAAAAAAGGATATAATTATAAATTTAAATTCAGCCAAAATTCATTAATTAGACTTAAATTATAGAAAAATATTATTAATATTTATGAATCCATATAAATATACTATGAAAACATATTTCATGTTAATTTAATGATACTAATTCGTTATCATAAATGCTAGTAGTTTTTATAAATTTTGTTAAATTTAAAAAAATTGACTTCTCAAAAACGAGAATTACATTCTTTTTGAAAGGATAGAGCAGTAAAAAAATGGAAAACAAATAATCTTGGACATAAAGGGGGCAATGAATGTTCTTGTCACCTTTCCTCTTCTCGAGGATTAATATTCGTTGTTTTGTCACCCAAAGGACGACTTGCCAGATACACTTTGGCAGCGGTATTCTTCATTTCTTCCATATTCTATCGCATAGGAGTAGTTGTTAAAATCTAGATTTTGCTATACGGTTTTATATCTTTAAAATCTTAATTGATAGGTTTGAACCAGTCAAGTCTATTGACAATTTTCATGTTTACAATCTTATGATTATGATATTACCTTAGTCCTTCGATTTAATTTGGAGTATACGATTTTGACAACTTATTTCTCACGTGGATCTCGTGCCTTGACATCCTGGGCCATAATTTGTTCATTTTATTTCTTCCCAGTGTCTAGGGCCATTTTCTCTGTCGATTCAATATCATGGAGTATTGCATTTGCACGTAGAAGTCTCTGAACTTACCAAACAGTTTTTCGTCAGTGAAATACTCTGCATGCCTCACAAGTAGTGGTACTGTGGTATTTTTCAGCATCTGCATAGGTTTTCTCAGTTTAATTTACCATCTGTTACAGACATGGTTGTCCTGGAGTTCCAGCACTACGCCCCTGGCTCCCGATGGAGGCAGACCACTGTGAGCAGGAAGGATCACAGGGAGAAGGGGGGCGAGACGGACGGCTTCTACGGTGGCATCAGGAAGCTGCAGACCAAAGACGAGATATCGACATGGCGACGATTCTGGCCCGTTGATGTCCTCAACTGAAGATCATATTTGCAGTCGGTCCGCAGTCTTCATTCCAAATTCCCCATGTACAGTTTTGGAGAGCTTTCAGCACTTGTCTGGAATAACTCTGAAACCCTTCTCGTGTCTGAAGGATCCTTTTTTGCTAGGGATTCATGGTGCAGAAGATTGCTCTGTCCAAGTTTATTAGAAGAAGAACAGGCTGCTATGAATGATGTACAGATCTATCCAGTTTTTGATATGACTTAAAGTTGTCGCGGTGTCCTGGTTTATATGCATCATAATTTTGGGAATGCATCGCAATCCGTCCAATTTTAAGTTTTGTCCGATGCTGCTATTTCCTTTGTGATAGCCAATGACCTCAATGGAGTGTCCGCTGCGATGTCAGCTGCGTAGATAGCGTGCGCGTGCTGAATCTTCTCCTTGGATCAATGTGATCTGATCAGGTCCCTAAAATGTTCAGCAAGTGAGCGGATTTGCCAAGTTTTCAGTCTTTGCGTACGAATGGGTTGGGCAGAGCTGTGCCTAACTCGATCCTGACGACAGTATGTTCAATGAATAGGCGATTTTACTCGCACATGGAAATCGGAACGATTACAAAGTGAAAATTGACGTGTTTGAGAGGAACCGGATGAAAATGACATGCCTAAAGTGGAGGACTGATGGGTGTGGCAAATTACACCCAACCTTCTGTAGACTTAGACTGCCCACAGCGTTATTTTTTCCGCTACTAAAACAGGAGAGAGTATTGAAGCATCGGTTTTCCTGCGCGAGCCTGGCTCGGCGAAAATGAAGCTCTCCCACGTTTCTCCTCAGCCTGGTCACAGAAGGAATCTTGCATGCATCCAGCCAGGCCCCAAGGTCTCTCCAAGAAACCAAACGCCTTCGGCCGGAGCCGGCCTACCAATCACACCCTATATTTCAGGCAGCCCTTCACAGTCCTCTCACGAAGGAACCGAGAAGCAAGGAAATGGCTGAGGATTCGGGTCCCATGTACAGTAATAAAGCATCGATGCAGACATTGTGACCATATATGATTCCTAGCATAGGTATGAGGTGGCGTGGTGAGATTTGTTTTTGACACTGATAACACTATGGGTAGTCTCATGTATTGCCATGGCTAAAGGTGTGACATTGCTCACCAAGACACCACAATTCCTGGTTGGGTCTTCGCTACAGTCGAGACCCGAGCCCTCTTTGGTTGGAGGCCAACAGATCCTTTGCCCCAAGCGCCCAAAAACAGACGCATGTGATGCATGTCTAATCTAGGCAGTTTTTTTGTAGCCACCAACCAAACATGCCTCGATGTGTATATGGGTAACAGGTGGATCGGTGACATGGACTAGAGTACAAAGGAATTTTATCCTTAATGTTTGTCTCTAAGTTTGAATCCAACAAACACACGATCATCTGCACTTATGTTAATGCTCTCTACACACACAACACGTAAAAAGGCAAGTCAAAAAATAACTTCCATTAAATAATCTTTTGACCAACTCCTACCTCTACCTTGGCCCTATCCGGGATGCCACCATCTTACTGATGTGTCCCTCACTAACTAAAGCAATTGTTGTTGTCCATGGCCAACACTTCCTACCGATTATCCCCCAACTCTCGTTTTTGGACACAATGTCACCCATCTCCCATTATCACCATTGTTTGTCTCCTCTAAGTTAGCTGGACTCCCAAAACATGAAATCCTGAATCCAAAACCATAAATCCATGGCTTTCTCTTTAAATGTGGGCTCTAACCGCTCAGAGGAAGGAAGGGAGAAAGAGAGGAGGATGAGAGAAGAAGAGAGAGAGGAAGAGAAGGGACCGACCTAGGTCTGGGAGATACAGATTGGATACACACAGATCGAAGAGATAAAGAAGACAAATGTAGAAGGTTGCCATTTAAAAAAAAAATCTTACATATTTGCTAGTTGAGAGAGAAGGTTAACTATTTTTACGACATTTACTGATGTGGAGTGACATCTCAAATTGCCAATGTGGAATTGTCATTGGAATTGACTCTGTTGTCCCTAGCCTTATTCTCCACCACGCCACCATCCCTCAATGCCCTTCTGCTCACATCAAGTGCAAGCATAGAATCTCCATGGCAAGCCACCACAAAATCATTTGACAATTGCTTTTCACGCCTCCACAGTTTATAGTCTTTATTTGAAAGGAACTTGCTAGACTGACTCAAGTGGGGAATAAAAATGAATGAATTAGACTGCTAAAACTTAACTTACGATTCTACTTAATTTTCATTGAATAAACTAAAACAGCCAAGTAGCAAAATAAGCACATATATTCATCTAGTTCTCTCCACTTATCCAAACTCGTAGAGGATGTCGCAACCTATACACGATCCTACAAACTAGCCAAGTTCCAAAGATCTAGGAAACGAGGACTATTTTGTGACCCACCTTACATTTTCAGCAGATTGTGACTTCTACAAAATAACTAACCAACTCTATTCTTAATAAGAGATGTTTTATAATGATTGGGAAAGCATCATGGTACCACGAGGTATTTTCATTTTTTTCTATTTTTTAGCTAACTAATTGAGAAACATTATTTATTAAATATAATTTGTAATATTGAGGGTAGTTTCGTAACCGAGTCTGCTTGCTGATCATCCGAGCGACGCGGTACGGCAGCTTCGGGTTCGCGCCGCGCGCCGCGCGCCGCACTCCGAGGGTGTTTCCGGCCGTCGAGCCATGCTCCAGTGAAGTCCACACAGTCCAGGAGGCTCTCCCGGTACCCTTCATGTCGTATGCCTGCACGCGGCGCCACAGGCTCCTGGCATGAACGTTCGCCGGCCACGCCAGGACGAGCCCGCGTGTCGCGTCGCTCACCGCCGCGTCGGCCTCGCGCCGCTCGAGCCGGCACTGCTTGCAGCTGCTGTGCAGCACCAGCCGCTCACTCCTGCTCAGGTGGGCACAGCTTCGGTATAATGATCAATTGCCTTGTCCACGTCGCCATGCAAGAAGCTGTCGTGCCTCTTCTTGACTTCTTCTCCAGCAGCAGGTGGACATGCGCACGCTGCTGGTGAGCTGCGCGCAGGCCATGGAATCGAGCCTCGCCGGCACGGGAGCCTGCTGCACAGGTCGCTCGCGGCGGACATGTCACACGACCCTGCTCGGTCCACGCGGGCCAACACAGCCGCGGCGGGCTCGCTCACTAACCCCCGCTCCTTGCCCCCTCGCCCGGCGCCGACGAACAGCGCCGACAGGTCAGACCCGGGGGAGAAGCAGAGGATGTAGAACGTTGTTGGCTTCCTGTCCGCGTCGTCCTCCTCCGTCTTGGACTCCGCCGGCCCGAACCACGCCTCCTTCTCTTCATCGTGCCCGCGGCCGCCGCCAAGCACCAGCCGGCCCAGCTCCTCATAACCAAGGTGCTAAAATTACCATTTGTCCGTAACCGAAAAAATAACAAAAAATAAACGGTAAACCTGGACTCATATATTTTAGTACTTGTCCACTTAATTTTGGTACTGTCCCATCTATTTAATACATTTAGTATTTTTACATTGATACCTCCTATTTTTATACCATCCGATCTCATCGAATGGATGGCTTATATTTTTTTTCAACTATTGTAAAATTTCTCACTTAATAATATTCTAATACATGAGTCTTATAAAGAAAACAACGCCACAGTGCAAGATTAACATTTGCCCTTTGCCGTTGTGTAACGCACATTCGTCTCTATCACTGTCACAACTCACAAGTCAGACTCGGGCTAGGGATCTCTTCGGCGCTTCGAGAAAAGATTCTGCCCCCTGACAACTGGGGGCTGTGGCTCGCACGCTTCCACCGACCAGACCGGGCCAGCTCAGGCGTGGAGCTGCTCGCCTCCTCCGCCGCGCCGGGACCGGCGATGAACGGCGGGCTCCCTGGATTCCGTACGCCACCTCACCTCTCGAACCTCCCTTCTCCTATTTTTTTCTTAAAAAAAAATCCTCTTCGACTTCCCTTATCTCTGCTCCTCTGTTACGTCATCGATCTTAGCGCGATTCGACCTGGTTCTGCTCAGACAATGCGCCGGCGTCGAGGGACGTGGTCGTCGCCGCCGCTCTCTTCTCCATCCCCTTCGGCTTCCGCGGCCGCTCCCTCGACCTCGGCCTGTCCTACCAGGCAAGGCGCCCTTGCCCTCCCCAATGCATGTGTACTGACTACTGTGATCCTAACTGTTTTAGAGGACATTTTCACTGAGGGTGACACTTGTTTGCTTTATTGCGGAATTAGTAGCTTGGAATTACATATAAACTCCTCGTTCGTTGTATATAAGTGTCCGCTACTTTTTATTTCTGAAAATGCAGTCGTAGCTAAATTTTCCATGCCCTTGTCCTTGTTTGAGCTGCAATTGGGTTGATGATTACAGGGAAATCTGATTGCCATGCTATAACAGGCAGCTAATTGGGTCCATCATCCTTTGTCTATGCAGAGTGTTTGTCCTCCCCAATGCATGTGTAATGAGATCCTAACTGTTCTAGAGAACATTTTCACGGAGGGTGACACTTGTTTGGTTTATTGCGGTATTTGTACCTTGGAATTACATGGAAACTCTTTGTTTGTTGTATATAAGTGTCCGCTACTTTTTTATTTCTGAAAATGCAGCTGTAGCTGAAATTTCCATGCCCTTCTCCTTGTTTGAGCTGCAATTGGGTAGATGATTACAGGGAAATCTGACTGCCGTGGTATAATAGGCAGCTAATTGGGTTCGTCATCTTTTTTCTATGCAGAGTGTTTATGAAAAGCTGAGTATCTGGAGGCTGATCACCTCATTGTTTGTTTTCTTGTCAACCCCCGAGCTGATCTTTGGAGCGGCCCTGCTATACTACTTTAGGGTGTTCGAACGACAAATAGGTTCTAACAAGTATGCTGTAAGTAGTTTTGTGCTCAAGGTGTTTGACATGCAGTTATTATAGCAACATTTGCCTATGCTGATGTAAGTATTTGAAATATAGGTCTTCATCATCTTCTCGACTATGGTGTCTGTACTGCTTCAGATCCTTGCTTTGGGTTACATGAAAGGTATGCCTTTTGTCAGTACTTGTCAGTGCATACTTTCTTTTAAATCCTGCTTAAACAATTTTGGAATTCATTTGGTTTGTTTTTTGTATGATATATTGCTTTGTATCAGCTTATCATATTGATTTCAAACTGTATCCTTAAGGTGTCAACTCCAGGACCCCAAAATAGAAGGTGCGTCTATAGAATTACAGATTTACAGTAACATGAAATTCAAAAAAAATTACAGTAACATCCTTAGTCCCACCACTTAAAATGCTTATGCATATTCTAGGCCAACTAAACCATTCGTTCAAAAACAAAATTCATCAGAACCACATTCTCTGGAACAACTATTTAAAATAAGGGCCTGCTCGCTGCAGCAGCTGCAACGTTTTTAGGCGAAAGTACAATTACAGCCGGTGAATACCTGCTGCAGCTTTAAGCTGCAGCTAACAAGCTGTAGGAGAACAAGATAGTTAGGAAAAATACCGGTGTTAATTGTGCTTATTCTTTTTTTATTTACTTGTTTCACAAAGCAACAAGTTAGTGTATATGGTTCTTGTCTGACAAGTTAATGTCAGAATTGCAGATCCTTCTCTAAATCCATTGACGTCAGGACCATATGGCCTCATCTTTGCATCTTATGTGCCATTCTTCTTTGACATTCCTGTGTCAATGAAGTTCCGCATATTTGGACTGAGCTTAAGTGATAAGTCATTTCTATATTTGGCAGGACTCCAGGTTCAGTTCTAAGATAACTTGCCTTCCTTTTTTTTCAAATCTCCCTCTGTCACAGCTTTACATATTTGATCTCTGTCATCAGCTTCTTTTCTCATCTGGAAGACGTTCTGTTGTACCTGGACTTTCTGGCATACTGGCTGGGCTTCTGTATCGCCTGAATACATTTGGCATCCGTAGGTTGAAGGTAACACTTTCTAGCCCGTTCGGGAAACGTGATGAGTTGTAGCTGTGCATTCAAAATGTGACTACATTTTCTCTAATAGTTCCCATAGTTTGCAACGTCGCTCTTCTCGCATTTTTCATGGCCCTTTTCGAACAATCCATATCAAGGGTTACCAACCACAGAAAATGATGGAAGCATCCCTTCTCATCAGGCAGATCAAATTGAGGCAAGTACTGTTGTAATAATCCCTTCAAAAACAACAACAACATAGCCTTTCAGTCCTAAGCAAGTTGAGGTAGGCTAGAGTTGAAACCCACCGAGAGCCCTAAGTCACGGTTCAGCCACTTCAATAGCTGCTTTTCAAGTACTCCTATTTAAACATACATCTCTAGGTATATCACAAGCTTTCAAATCTCTTTTTATTGCCTCCCCTATGTCAATTTCGGTCTTTCTCTACCTTTCCTCATATTATTAGCTTGGCTTAGGACTCCACAATGCACTGGTGCCTCTGGAGGTCTCCTTTGGACATGGCTCAGCCGATGGTGGACAAGCTTTTCTTCAATTGGTGCTACCTCTAAGCGATCACGTATATCATCGTTCCGAACTCGGTCCATTCTTGTGTGACTGCAAATCCATCGCAACATACGCATTTCTGCAACACTCAGTCGTTGAACATGTCGAATCTTTGTAGGCCAACATTCTGCGGTCTAATCGTTGTTCTATAGAACTTGCCTTTTAGCTTTTGTGCTACCCTCTTGTCACAGAGAATGCCAGAAACTTGTCGCCACTTGATCCACCCTACTTTGATTCTATGGCTAACGGCCGCATCAATATCTCCATCCCTCTGTAGCATCGATCCTAGATACCGAAAGGTATCCTTCTTAGGCACTACTTGACCTTCCAAACTCACATCTCCCTCCTCATATACAACTCCACCAAAGTCGCATCTCATGTATTCGGTTTTAGTTCTGCTCAATCTAAAACCTTTAGACTCAATGGTCTGCCGCCATAACTCTAGTTTCCTATTTACTCTTGCCTGGCTTTCGTCCACTAGCACTACATCATCAGCGAACAACATACACCAAGGGATATCCCCTTGTATGTTTCTGGTAACCTCATCCATTACCAAGGCCCTTGTAATAACCCCTTATATCAATATTTTTTTTTTGGAGGAGATAGTATATTCTAGGTACCAAATCAGGAGGCCTGCCAATACTTCAACACTTGAGCACCACATGATTAACAATTTTCGAGGAAATTCTCGATTATGCATACCATACTATGTTTGTGATACTTCGATTTTGAAAATGAATAATTAGAATTAAGTTTGATCGGTAGAATACTAGAATGTGAGCACTGTAGCTAAATATATTAATCTTTATCTTTAATTGATCTCATTTTTAGTGCCTTTTAACTTGATATGATAGTATACATATGTGGATATGCCTGATGTCCGTTGTTCATCATGTTCGACTCAACCATAAAGTTTGAACACAGGAGATTTTTCTGCTTCTCTTCCGATACTAATTTTTTGTCACTGAGCTTTGCTTCTGATCCTTATTCAGGATGCACGCACAGCTACCCAAGATCCCACGGAATCTTCTATTGCTGCACTGGTGTCTATGGGCTTTGATCGCAGTGCAGCAATTCAGGCACTTGCATTGACCAACTACGATGTCAATTTGGCCTCGAACATTCTGCTTGAAGCAGAAGCTCTGCAGCCATGATACCCTGGCATCGAGTCAAAAGATGGATGGATGCTCTGTACATTAATGAGCGTGAAGTGTTTAATACTTCGATTCATTGTTCTTTTCTAGATTTTATCACAGGATTCCTTGTTGAAACAAGCCATTGTGGCATTGTATATGAACGGGAACTATCAGACAATTAATACAGGAGCTTTCTCTATTTGCTTGCAGCGATACTCTATTTCTGAATGGTGGCTGTAGCTTGTGGATAGTCGGCACCCTATATACTGACAAAAGTGCTTGAAAGATTGCCAGCAGATTATGCTGGTAGCTAACTGATGCCAGGGATGAAATCACTAACTCGAGGGCTTCTGAAGCCAAGTCGGTAGAATCGAGAAATCTAAAGGTTGATGTCAACACTGATTCTCCTAGTTCCACCCTGTGGCGGAGCGAGCACTTGATCTTAGGTTGATCTCTCTACCAAGATTGGCCCATTGGTCAATTTGGGCCTTGATCTCTTGATCCCGTGCCCTGATCGGAGGCGTCCAACTCTACATGGTTGGTGGACCTCCATCGCACTGTGTTATATAAAGAGGTGGGTTTCGGTGGCTCACGGTACGACGTTCACCGGTTGTCAGAGTATCCTCACCGACAGAACATGAATTCTCCTCGACTCGCTGCCGCCTGGACGCCGTCGTCACTGGACTACGTCGCCCCTCTCCATCGACCCCAACTCGACAGCGCCTTCTTCACCGACATTATGGCCAGCTCCTCCGCCAAGCCCACTGATGGTCGGTAACACATCCCCTCTCATCCTCTCCCCTCTCTAGTTCATGTTCTAGGACGGATCTATATGTTCTATCTCAAATAGAAAGGTTTCACCTGCTAGATCTACTCCTAGATAATCCTACAGTTATAACACTTGACTCTTTCATCCATGCAGCATATTCTGGTTCCAATAGCGGTTGGGGAAAACCGCATTTGGCATCAACTGACTGTATAAAGCAGTAGCTATTAACATGCTGTCAGTTGCTTCGCCAACAGGGAGCAGCCGGTCTCCGAGCCATGTCAGAGGGCAATGCACGATATTAATATTGGCATATTGCTGCATAATAAGAAGCGACACGCAAGGCTCAAATTCACACCAGGAACCTCAAACGCCAAGTATACTGGCAGCATAAGTATAGCATCGTAACAAGAGCAAGGTTCCATAGCACAAGGAAAATGCAAGCATCAACAGCGACGGAATGGGCCACGAGGGTAGTACGCTAACAGTAGTAACACGGCAACAATACGAAAGGGGACACCAAACTTATCGAGGTCTGCCTGCCCTTAACCCACCAGGCTTCACACGATCACAGCCTCCTCACATGTCGTCGGCTTGCACCTCCTCCTCATCCTCGTACTCGCCCTCGTCATCGGCAGTCGCGTCCTGGTACTGCTGGTACTCCGACACGAGGTCATTCATGTTGCTCTCGGCTTCGGTGAACTCCATCTCGTCCATGCCCTCGCCCGTGTACCAGTGCAAGAAAGCCTTCCTCCTGAACATGGCAGTGAACTGCTCGCTCACCCTCCGGAACATCTCCTGGATGGAGGTCGAGTTGCCGATGAAGGTAGACGCCATGGACAGGCCCGTCGGCGGGATGTCACACACACTGGACTTCACGTTGTTGGGGATCCACTCCACGAAGTAGGACGAGTTCTTGTTCTGGACATTGATCATCTGCTCGTCAACCTCCTTGGTGCTCATCTTCCCACGGAACATGGCCGAGGCGGTGAGGTAACGCCCATGGCGAGGGTCAGCAGCGCACATCATGTTCTTGGCGTCCCACATCTGCTGTGTGAGCTCAGGGACAGTGAGGGCCCGGTACTGCTGGGAGCCACGGGACGTCAGCGGTGCGAAGCCAACCATGAAGAAGTGTAGACGAGGGAAGGGGATCAGGTTCACTGCCAGCTTCCTGAGGTCAGAGTTCAGCTGACCAGGGAACCTTAGGCAGCAGGTGACTCCACTCATGGTTGCAGAGATCAAATGGTTCAAATCCCCAACTGCAGAAATTAACAAATACAGAGTGTTATCATACAGAGTAAATACACCAGTACAAGCATCTGCAACCTGAAGAGATAAAACTGAGAAAGAACGAGGCTGCTTACAGCTAGGAGTGGTGAGCTTAAGAGTCCTGAAGCAAATGTCGTAGAGGGCCTCGTTGTCAAGAACCATACACTCATCAGCATTCTCAACCAACTGGTGAACAGAAAGAGTAGCATTGTATGGCTCAACCACGGTATCAGATACTTTCGGTGAGGGGAAAACTGAGAATGTCAGCATCATGCGGTCAGGGTACTCCTCCCTGATCTTTGAGATCAACAGCGTACCCATACCAGATCCAGTACCACCACCAAGGGAGTGGCATACTTGAAATCCTGAACAAACAAATAGATTGAGTTAATGTTAAATGTAGCAAGGTAATCAAGTATAGTTGCATGGGCGATTGAAAAAAAAAAACTTAATAAAGTACACATGGCAGCCAGCCAGGATAGTAACGTGAAGAGAGGCAGAGGAAGACCGAAGTTGACTTGGGTAGAGGCAATAAAAGGAGACTTGAAAGGATGGAATATACCCAAAGACTTAGCCTTAGATAGGGGTGCTTGGAAAACAACTATTCACGTGCCTGAACCTTGATTGCTTCTGCTGGGTTTCAACTCTAGCCTACCCCAACTTGTTTGGGACTTAAAGGCTTTGTTGTTGTTGTTGTTGTTGTTGTTGTAAAGTACACATGGCAGCCAAGATACATTACACACGGAGGTGACAGTAATCACAGTCAAAACAGCTTGTTATGTACTTTTGAATGTCAATTGTTCAAGCAACAAGTGCAAGATAATACTACACTTCCATATAAATTGAAGAATATAAATTTTTGTTTCTGATCATGTGTCAAAACATGCCAACAGCACACAAGATAGATACAGAAATGTGAAATTACTAAGCACATCAGCAATAAGCCACAAGTATCAATGTCTAGATGAAGTGTGAAATTACTAAGCACATCAGCAATAACAAGGTATCAATGCCATTTAAGATGATATAGAAATACAGTACAAGAACTAAAACGAGCTAAATGACTCAGGTTCAAGAGCAATAGCAGCTTCATAATAACAAGATATTGCAGTTCTAGTTCCCATGGATAGCATCAGTCAGATGGATATAATGTATCGCATTATAGTGAAAAAAATCACAAGCATGGTAAAAAACAGTAGGAGATATTTGGACATGTGCATCTCACTCTAAATTGCTTCAAAAACTGATCTAATCTAACAACTATAAGCAATCAGCTTTATCAACAATAAGCTCAAGTACCTTGCAAGCAGTCACAGTTCTCAGCTTCCTTCCTCACAACATCCATAACAGAGTCAATGAGCTCAGCACCCTCGGTGTAATGACCCTTAGCCCAGTTGTTACCAGCACCAGATTGCCCAAACACAAAGTTGTCAGGGCGGAAGATCTGACCATAGGGTCCAGTGCGGACACTGTCCATTGTCCCAGGCTCAAGGTCCATGAGAACAGCACGGGGCACAAAGCGGCCGCAGGAGGCCTCATTGTAGTAGACATTGACACGCTCCAACTGAAGGTCAGAATTGCCAGTGTACCGCCCGGTAGGGTCAATGCCGTGTTCATCACACACCACCTCCCAGAACTTGGCACCGATCTGATTGCCACATTGCCCTCCCTGGATGTGCAAGATCTCTCTCATCTTCGCCCTAGAAACAAGGGAAGCGCATAGGAATTAGTTTCAGATACTGCAACAAGCACACCAACCTAAAATACCGTGCCAAAGGAAAAAAAAAACATTTGCTAGATGTCACCCTCCTTAAGTTGATTAGATCATGTATGTCTAGCCATTTACCACAGAACCAGAAAGCGAGTTCATATTGTCACTGCAGTTTCAGATCTGAAATGTCACTAAACTCGTACTAGGATCACATAGAGAACCCTAACAAGATCTGGGGTTTCAAAACCATCTTATACACATCAATCACCTGAATCCCCTACTAATAAGTACTAAATGCATCAATATTTACAGCGGATCTAGTCGTTATTTCCTCGTGATAATAAATAATTTCTTGAGCTCAACCGTTCAAACAGTGACGTCAGTTCCAGATCTAGTTTCAGTCCTGAAATTTGTAGTCAAAACTGTACTAAGTTCTGATAATAAACCCACAAAGCTCTCTACATCTAAGTTCTAGCAGTTACATTTCCGAGATCGAGTGATTAGTCACAAAAAAGGACCACGAAATTCCCCCCAAATCCAACGGTAGAGATCCCACTCAACTACGCAGAATCACCAAACTAATCAAATAATCTTCGTAGAAAAACAGAGATAAACAAGCGCTGGGCCAGGGCATTCCTAGGTGGGAAATGAGCAGATCGCCCGCAGATCCAATCCCATTACCGGTTACATCGCGAAAACAACCCAGAATTCGGCAAAAATCCTAGCTACGGTGCCACATCAGATCAGAGACAATGCGGCACCACGGCACAGATTGAAAACTCGATTACGAGGGTAGTTCAGAAATTCTTACGGGTATGAGATATCAAAACTGCGAGGCTACTGGCGGCGAGAGAACGAGAGAGATCGGGGAGGCGGAGGAGGCCGGGGGCGAGTGCGGCGTCGGCAGCGCGGGGTTAAATAGCCGTAGGCAGCGGTGGCCGCTGCGAGCATCCGACGGCCCGCACCCTCCCGTTCCGAGCCCTTCTCGCGACGCACGGCCCAGATCTCTCCCCCTTGCGTGATTTTCAAATTTCCCACCCTGCGGCGGCGAAGTACCCGAACTGCCCCCTGCAAATATCGCCGTTCCGTCGAGGGCCCGCAGGCAGCGTGACCCGTCCCAAGCTCCCCGGGGTAACGTTTTCGCCCCCCGCTTGCCCGCGCCTGTCCGCGCAGCTGGCAAACGTTGGGCCGGGTGAACGCGACCACAGGTTGACAGGTGGGTTTCTTCCCTCGGACCGGTGAGAGGTTAGATGCCACCGAGGTGGGACAGGGCAGCGGCTGGGCCCATGTGCGGTGCGGGGCACTGTCGTGGGGTACGCTTATTGGCAGGATTGGAGGTGGGTGCCGGTTGGTGCGACGTCCAGATCCAACGTCCGCGCTATGGCTCGACCGGGCGGCGGGCCCGCGGGCATGTGAGTGACCGCTCAGCTTTTCCGGGGGGACTCACGTGTGGGCCACGTGCGCCGCGGTCGTAACAGTGCTCTGTTGCCTTCCTGTCGTGAGCTGTTCCACGATTGGATCTCGCAGGAGCAGAGGACTCTGGCACGGCGTTCTGTTCTTCAGTGTGGAGTACTTTGGTCCTGGGTGTTTGGTTCCTTAGACCAGATTTTAGTCCCTATCTTATCGAATGTTTGGACACATGCATGGAGTATTAAATATAGATTAAAAAATTAGCTAATTACACAGATTGCGACTAATTTGCGAGACGGATTTTTTAAGCCTAGTTAGTCCATGATTTGATAATGTGGTGCTACAGTAAATATGTGTTAATGATGGATTAATTAGGCTTAATATATTCATCTCGTAAATTAGTCTACTCTTGTGTAATTAGTTTTTTAATTAACTCATATTTAGTCTTACTAATTAGCATCCGAACATCCGATGTGACACGGACTGAACTTTATTCCCTGCATCAGACACCCCGCCGCGGGTGTCGGCCGTGGCCTCATGCCCTCATGGTCGTGGGCAGGATGCCATTCTGAAGAATCTTTCTTTGGCCAGCGCGGCTTAGGTGTGAGGTCAGTGGATAAGTTGCTTTGCTGGAAGGGACCAGCTGGGGACAAGCTCAGCTCAATGCTCATACATACATGTCCTCCCAACTTGTTTCGTTTCCCATCAAAAGAAAAGGAGGAACGTTCGTTCGGGTGGTGTCTCCAATTATTCGTGTTTTGCATCTGGTTCCCTTTCATGTTGCTGTGAGCGTTCGAGGAATGAAGCCGTCTCGATGACAAGTCATCTTCAGTGGCCAAGGTTTCAGATGGCAGGTGGAGGAAAAGGAAACAGCTTGCTCAGGCCCAGTTGCTGCTTCTAAGAAACGAGTCCAATACAACTCAAAAGCTCGGCCCGTTTGCTCTAGTACACAGCACAGTACACTTGCAAGTTGCAAACCTGGATCTGATCGAGCATGGGCACTGAACAATCAGAGTGTCTCTTTCTAGCACGTAGTTTCTTTGTTTTTCACCTGCCAAGCAAGTGTAAACATAAAGTGACACAGCCCTAAAGAAAAAAAAGGAAAGAAAGAATAAAAAACATTCAGAATTAAAAATCTGTTTACCGTTCGATGACCGAGGCGGAGGCCACAGCTGCTTCCTGCGTGCTGTCGTCGTGCCGCAGGACCACACGTCGTCCACAGTTCCAAACGACCACACCCACAGTGGCAGCAACATGCATGCATCAATGGGAAGGCACGCTCGCCTCTTCGCGCGCATCCGAATAACGGGCCCACCCGCACCCGACCCATACCCACTTCACTGAGGCTGTGTCCAACAGTAACCTAAATCCAAAATAGATTCCAACGTAATACCTATAGCTTTTAACAAAATACCTATATAGAAAAATCCATTTCAAATGTCAGGAGAGACATAACCTAAATCTGATTATCCTCACTCCTAGAGATACATTTGCAGAAAAGATTGTCTTTTGAGGTCTTGTTGTTGGAGAAGACAAAAATATGTATTGAATCATTTACCTATAGCGCTACCTAAAAAACGAATGGGTTTTGTATTTTGGATCACGGTTGTTGGAGATAGTCTGAGACAGTCTCTAACGGATGACCCATATAGGCACTTAAATCCAAAATGAATATTGAATGGTACTACATTAACCTCTAACAGAGTACTTATATATGAGACCTATTTTGAGTTGCAATGTAGGCACAACCAAAATACAGAATATCCTCTCTTTTGAAGATTTATTTGTAAATAGATTTTTTTTTTGTCGTCGAAGAAGACTAAAAATAGAATCTCGAAATTTTTGTCAATAGCGATAGATGAATATGAAATAGGTCTAGGTTGAGTGATGTTGTTAGAAGATAGTCTGTCTGTTTGTTTCAGACTTATTCGTTTGTATTTAGCTTATAATTAATAACTTAAATAGTATTTTTTTCACACGCTTAAATCAGCCCGTGATACTTTCCGCCACGGCTTATAATCCGATTGAGCGGCTTATAATCCGATTGAGCCGAAACGAACAGCCTGAGTGACTCGAGTGCTGCACAGATTCGGCGCGGTCGCGGAGCGAGGACGACGTCACCTTCTTCAGGCCCCGCCCCGCCCGGGGTAGGCGTAGCCGCGTTGGCCTCTCAGCTCGGGTCAGCCGCCTCGCTCGAAGTCGAACCAGAAAGCGAAGCAGAGCAAGCGAGGCAGCGGAGGGCGGAGATGTCGGCGGGGCTGGTGACCGACGAGGCCACCGTGGGGCGGCTGTACCGGATCCGGCTCACGGTGATGCAGATGCTGCGCGACCGTGGCTACCTGGTGGTGGAGCACGAGCTCGCCACCAGCCGCTTCAACTTCCTCCGCAAGTTCGGCGAGTCCTTCCACCGCGAGGACCTCCAAATCAACAAGTCCAAGAAGAACGACCCCTCCGACCAGGTCAGTCCAAGGCTCCAAGCTCAGCTCTGCTTAGTGCTTAACTCCCGATCCAATCCGAATTCACTCCGCCGCGGGTCAACTGCCCGCCTCCCCTGCTTCATGCCGCTCCTGATCGGATCAGACGGTGCGGACGTCTGTGGATAGCTGCTCGATCCAGCTCCCTTCGCCTTTGACGGGCCTTTAATTTCTTGGGGATCGGTGCTTCTCTCCTTGAATCCGTACCTCTGCTCTTGCTTGATCGATCGGTTCGATGTCCGGATCGCCATGGGTTTTCGAAGCTGCGGCAAACTAACTGCTTCCTGTGAAGAACACAAGCTTCAAATCACTGAGCACGGATCGAGCCTATCTTCTTCCTGATCGCAGCTAACGAATTAGATCATTCCGAACCAGCAAGTTCAGACTCAACCGCTGCAAGTAGTACTGGCTTGTTGAAGTGCGAACCTACCGGCTACCGCAGCAATCCGTTGCCTGATCAGTATGCTTTCATATAGTTCGACATAGGTTTATGTTAACTTGTAAGAATGAACATCCCCAACACTGTCTGCGGTGCCTGCTAATTTGACCGAGACCAGAAAGCAATAACGCAATTTTGTCAGCAAATAATTCACTCCTTAATAGCAAAGTTCAGTATTTGAAGCTGCAGTTGGTAGTCCTCCTAATAGTGTAATTGGTTTTTATTCGTTGATCAGATATATGTTTTCTTCCCCAATGATGACAAGGTAGGGGTGAAGCACGTCAAGAAGTACATTGAAATGATGACGCATGAGAATGTCTCCAGAGCTGTGTTGGTTCTTCAGCAGAACCTAACTCCATTTGCAAAGTCGTTTCTCATAGAATTGGAGCCAAAGATCCATTTGGAAGTTTTCCAGGTTAGTTTGCAAACCAAGAAGAAGCTACTCCAATTTGACTCGCAGCATTGCTTGCTCCGAATGCTATTGTGCAATGATCTTCTATTTTGTTATTTCTGATAACTGAAGCAATGAACAGGAGGCCGAGTTGCTTATAAACATCAAGGAGCATGTTCTTGTTCCTGAGCATCAGGTGCTCACAAATGAGGAGAAAAAGACGCTATTGGAGCGGT